AAGAGTTCAGGAATGAAGACCCTGGGGCGGTTGCTATTAGCACAGTGCTAAAAACAGCAATTGTGTTCCAGTGATTGTTTCTATCTTTTTTGCCATTATAAAGATTGCTGCAGTAAACATAGGCCCCACACACGAAATCTTTAACCAAAGCTGTATTGGGGGGAAAATAATCAAGCCAGAAGGAACCCTGGTGGTGTAGTGGACCACTCCCTGGGAGAAAAATGTGCCTTTGCGCGCCTGTAAAGTTTCAGTCTGGGAAACCCACAGGGGCAGTTCTACTCTGGCCCACAGGGTCACTATGAGTTGTCCCCCACGCCCCCATGGCAGTGAATTCTGGTTTGGGTTTTGGCCCTGGAGCTGGGTGCCTTGGTGGGTGGTGTTCTTTCCTTCTCCCTCGGGTGACATGGGAGGGGAGAGGTGTGCTGCTGCTGAACTGAGTGAGCAGCTAAGAAAACTTTAAAAATGACCCTAGAATCTTGTTTCTTGAGTTTTTAAGGCAAGACCGTTAACCCACAGGCCACAAGTGACATAGGCTCCACTCAAATAGTATGCATTTGCATATCTTTCTGGAGGCCAAAGTTTTTGTCATGTTCTCAAAGCTGTCAGTAATATTCAAAGGTCTATAAGGGTCACACTGGCATAACAAGGACTTGCCTCTTTCCCCCTCACTCATCACCCCTGCTCTCCAGGACCTGTGGGAGACCCAGTGGTGCTGCCGGTTAATTGTTGGGCTGCTAACCACAATGTTGACCGATCAAACCCACCTGATGCTCTTTAGGAGAACGAGGATGCTGTCTGCTCCATAGAGATTTAGGCAGGAGCAACTTGATGGCAGTGGCAGTGAGGGGCCCTGTGCACAGAGGTTGGCTGGGACTTTGAGCTTCAGAGAGCCATGTTTGTCTTGCAGACTCTCCCCTTGGCTCCGGGTGCTCACTCAGAAACTGTGGATGAGCCTGAGGGAACCCTCCTCCTGGCCCTGTGGTTTGGATCCAGTGCCTTTGCGACTGTAAGAGGATGGACAAAGGTAGTATGGGGCTCCCAAATGCCGGGCACCAAGCATCTGCTGGTTCGTGTGTCCTTCCACCCTGGCTAAGCATGCCAACCCCCCACCACCACCCCACCCCGCCCCCACGGGGCCAGCAGCATCCACCTGCCCTCAGCAGAGGCTATACCCGACTGCCTCGCTATTGAGCTACTGTTCTCTGACGTGGCTGCATTGGATGGCAGAGGGAGCCATTATGCCCAGAGCCAAATGAGCCACACAACCTAACATGTGGCACTAGGACAGCTGCCCAGCATGGAAGACCTGGGCCAGCTCTGAGCGCCGATGGGTCTGGATGGCCAAGGAACTCCCACCTTCAGACTCCACGTGTCCTGAAGAAGGGGGTGGGTGGCCTGTAGGAGACTTTTGTTAACCACTTTGCTTGTTCTAGATTCTCAGGGCCTGCTAGATCCATCCCTGATGGCCTCGGGCACTGCCAGCCGCTCTGAGGATGAAGAGTCACTGGCAGGCCAGAAGCGGGCCTCCTCTCAGGCCTTGGGCACCATCCCTAAAAGGAGAAGCTCCTCCAGGTAGTAAGGGCTCAGAGGGCTGGGCTGTGGCTTAGGTGCTGCTTGCTGTCACCCCTTAGGGAATGGCTGGCTGAGTCCCCAGGGCTTAAGCGAGGAGATTCCTGTGGTAGCCCCTCCCCTTGAGACTAAGGGCAAGGTGGGGAGCCTGTAGGCCCTCTACATGAAATCTTTGTGGTTCAGTGACCTGGCATCTCACAGAGGGGAAGCAAGCAGCTTCGTGCTCCACGGAGCCTGGCCCCTGGCACCCTGGGGCATGTGAGGTGAGGGGGGACTGGGTGGGGTCAGGAACTCTCACAAGCACAACCCTCCCCAGATTCATTAAAAGGAAGAAGTTTGATGATGAGCTGGTGGAGAGCAGCCTGGCCAAGTCCTCTACTAGGGTAAAGGGGACCAGTGGGGTGGAGCCCGGCCGCTGCTCCGGGAGTGAGCCCTCTTCTAGTGAGAAGAAGAAGGTGAGGAAGTTGGGCAGGACTCTGGGGCAGCGGCAGGTGGGGGGGGGGCACCCCAGGTTTCATGTTTCCCTGGAACCTCTGCCAGCTAGGCTTGTTGAGAGAGGACCAAGCTGCCCCTGCCCCAGCCCATTTCTCCTTGCCTATGCGCACCCCCCACCCCCACCCCCTGCCATTGCATCCTGTATCACATTCCGTGTGGGAGGCATAGAGCATGCATCTATTCTGGGAGCAGGCAGTCTGTTCCTAGCATTGCCGGGTGTAAGAAGAACCCCAGGTGGCATTGCAGTGGCCCCAGACGCTCTGGCAGCCAGAGTGTTTTCCTGGCACCCCCTCCCACTTCCCACTCTGTGCTGGTGTGCCCTCAGCAGAGAGGACCCCATCTGATCAGTACTAGGTAGAAGTAATCTTGGGGGGGGTGGGGGCGGGAAGCAGGAGAAGGAAGCAGGCTCGACATCCCTCCCAGGCTTCCTGTTACGGTACCTGCAACTCCAGGCCCAAAGCTCCAACTGCTCTGATGCTGCCCTTGCCCAGGTGTCCAAGGCTCCCAGCACGCCGGTGCCTCCCAGCCCCGCCCCCACCCCTGGACTCAGTAAACGGGTGAAAAAGAGCAAACAGCCACTGCAGGTGACCAAGGACCTGGGCCGCTGGAAGCCCGTGGATGACCTCCTGCTTATCAACGCAGTGCTTCAGGTAGCGCTGCCCAGCCCCGCCCAGCCTGACCCAGTGGGGGCCGGGGAGGGGTCCTTCCCAGCTCTAGGAGGCTGGAGCAAACCCCTCTGGGCCTTGCAGACCAATGACCTGACATCTGTCCACCTGGGTGTGAAGTTCAGCTGCCGCTTTACCCTCCGGGAAGTCCAGGAGCGCTGGTACGCCCTGCTCTACGATCCCGTCATCTCCAAGTGAGTGGGGCCGTCCCAATCCTGGGGCTCTAGGGGGAGGGGATTCCCCTGAGAGCCTGGGGGATGGGTTCTTGGGGCCTTGAGTTTCTCTGGCTTCAGAGGGAAAACCCTTCCTGCCTCCCCCCGCCCCCACAACAAAGCCCCCAAGCCAGTGCTGACTACAGCCTGGAATCTGGGGCTCTGCAAGCCCAGGAGTCTACCGGGACACCGCAGGCTGAGCGGGCCACTCGGGGCAGGTCTCCTCCTGTGACTTTTCCTCTAGGGCTGAAGGAACTGCACAGGAGACCACCAAGGCCCCTGCCCAGCCCCACAGTCAGGCTTCCAAAGACACAAGGGTGTGAGCTCGTGCACACATGCCACCCTCCCCCTCCTCCTCAGTCACTTAGTAACACCATCTCATCGACCCCCACCGCTCCTGCTACCACTTAAGCTGTAGCGGTGGCCCTAGCACACTAGCAAGTGAGCAGGGCTCAGCTCAGGAGAGCAGAAGTGGCAGCCAGTGGCTGATGGCTGGCAGCTTTGGCCAAGTAAAGGAGGATGGCTTTGAGGAGGGCATAGCAGCTGGCCTCTGGATCTGCCCCAGGACTGGGTCTCTGGCAACTGTGCCTTTGCGTCCCCTTCATGGGTTGGGCCCGGAACCCGTCTCCTGAGTTGCTGCCATTCATTGACCTGAGCAGCTGGGGCTGCAGCAGCCATCCGTGCCTTGGGCTCTTCCTCTCAAGGGCTGGACCTCAAGGCCTACAGAGGGGACAGTGCCCAGCCACAGAGTGCCAAACAGCCCCCTGGAACCTTGCCCCTCTCTCCCAGGCTGGCTTGCCAGGCCATGAGGCAGCTGCACCCAGAAGCCATTGCAGCCATCCAGAGCAAGGCCCTGTTTAGCAAGGCTGAGGAGCAGCTGCTGAGCAAAGTGGGCTCGGTAAGGCTGAGGGTGGGTGGGGTGTCAGACCACCTGCGAAACCCCTGTGGGGGACCCTGTTGTCTGCACAGCCTTTTGCAGCCCCTGTGGACTGAGCTCTTAGGGAGCCAGCCTGGTTCCCCAAGGGGCTTCTCCACCCCCAACCCCCAGATCCTAGGGGTGGGGTTGGTGGGTGGCATGTGGGAATAAGCAAACCCAGACACCGTCACACCTGTTTCAGGCCAGCCAGCCCACCTTGGAGACCTTCCAGGAGCTGCTACACAGACACCCTGATGCCTTTTACCTGACGCGCACTGCTAAGGCGCTGCAGGCCCACTGGCAGCTCATGAAGCAGTATTACTTGCTGGAGGACCAGACAGGTAGCTGGCCCAGGATCTGGCCGAGCAGGGTCTGTGTGTGTGCTTGAGTGCGCATGAGCACGCACGTGTCCGAAGTGGTCAGGATGCGTCCGCCCACCAGTGCCCTATAGCAAGTCCCTCAGTAGCCCTAGCGTCTATGGAGCTCACTTTCCTACAAAGCCTGCCAGAGGGCGGAGACAAAGCTGAACCGGGTGAGCAGGACAGGACTGCTGGCTCTGTCACAAACTGTCCGCTTTCTCATTCCTACTTAATCCAAGGCTGTGAACCTGACAGCCCTTTGCACCTGGAATATCCACCCCAGGAGTCACTTTTCCGTCCCCTTCTGTTCCAGAATCACCTCTGCCCTCAGCCGGCTCCAGGAACGCTCTGTGCCAAATCGTGGGGTGGGCAGCCTGACCTGGTGGCAGGCTCTGTGTGCCAGTGCAGCCCTCCGCTGTCCGAGTGTGCTGGGTCTTGTCCGAGTGTCTGCCTAGGTGCTCTGCGTTTGTGGGAGGCTTGGTGCTGACCCTTCCTCTGTCCTTTGTTCAGTGCAGCCGCTGCCCAAGGGGGACCAAGTACTGAACTTCTCTGATGCCGAGGACCTGATAGACGACAGTAAACTCAAGTAAGTGGCTTCGGGCAGGGCCCCAGAGGCACTGAGTCCCTTCCATACCGCACCCCACCCCACATACCCTACACACACACACACACACACACACACACACACACACACACACGTCTCCCTCGGGTGCTGCCAGGAATGGAGTCAGTCCCCTGCCAAGTCCCCTCCCTTCTGCTTAGGCAACTCTGCCTTTCCTGAGTCCTGCCCTGAGCCCAGGGAAGAGACTAGGTTGAGGCTAGAGGGCCAGGCTTCTGGGGACCTGGGCCCCAGGAACTCAGGGTGCTCTTGATCAGCTTAGAAGGCCCCAAGTGGTGATGGCAGTGAGCTGGAAGTGGTGCCCAGTACCCCCCCTGATTGCCTTCTCCCCCCCAGGGACATGCGAGATGAGGTCCTGGAACATGGTGAGTGCCCTGGGGAATGGTGAGGGGATGGAAGCAATGCCTACCGGAGCCCAGAAAACCAGGCGGGGCCCCTGGTGACTAGGAGCGCCTCTCTGACCACCTTGCCTCACCCAGAGCTGACGGTGGCTGACCGGCGCCAGAAGCGAGAGATCCGGCAGCTGGAGCAGGAGCTGCACAAGTGGCAGGTGCTGGTAGACAGCATCACAGGTGAGGAGCAGGGGCGGCCTGCTGCCCTCCCCAATGCTGGCTTCCTCTCACTCCCAGGCCTCTGACCCCAAGCCCTCAGGAGACCTTGCCTCCTGCACAACCCCCCAGGCAGCCCCTTTCTCACCTGCTCCCCTCCCAGGCATGAGCTCCCCAGACTTTGACAGCCAGACGCTGGCTGTGCTGCGGGGCCGCATGGTGCGCTACCTGATGCGCTCTCGAGAGGTGAGCCTCCTCAGTCTCCCTGAACTGCCCTCTGCCTGTCCCACGCCCTCCGCGGCCCACCCCTCGGTTTCAGCCTTCACCTGCCTCGCCTCTCCAGATCACCCTTGGCAGAGCGACCAAGGATAACCAGATTGACGTGGACTTGTCTCTGGAGGGCCCTGCCTGGAAGATATCCCGGAAGCAAGGTACCCTCTCCCTCGCCCGCCCCAAGCCAAGCACTGCTGGAGAGGCAGAGTTGGTCAAGGAGGCGTATGCGGCCCTCTGCTTGCCCATCAGCCCCTCCCTGTTTGCCCAGGTGTCATCAAGTTGAAGAACAACGGTGACTTCTTCATTGCCAACGAGGGCCGGCGGCCCATCTACATAGACGGGCGGCCTGTGCTCTGTGGCTCCAAGTGGCGCCTCAGCAACAACTCCGTGGTAGAGGTGGGCAAGCAGGGCAGGAGGGGAGGGTGAGTAGCCAGGGCAGGCCTGGGCCCCGCCCCCACCTTGTGCTGAACCAGCCCCTTCCCTCACCCCCACAGATCGCCAGCCTGAGGTTTGTCTTCCTCATCAACCAGGACCTCATTGCCCTCATTCGGGCCGAGGCGGCCAAGATCACACCCCAGTGAGGGAGGGCCAGGCCACCTCTGCCCAGAGCGGACAGCAACAGACCCCACCGCTGGCCGTGGATTAGAGCCCTGGGGTGTGTAGGGCTGGCCACTGGGAAGCCAGGCCAAGGCTGGGACCCTCCCCGCCCCTCTCCCTGCATCTCTAACAGATTCCCTTCAGACTCCTGTATTGTTACTGTCTCTCTCTTTGTAAATAAAAGGCACTGGCTTCCAAAGGTAGTTTATTTTATTATTTTTTTCTCTTAATATAAAAAATGTGGGGACAAGGAGGTGGGGCACATGCAGAGATGGCAGAACCCCTCCTTGGCCTCAGCCCTCAGCCTGCAGAGCAGGGAGGTCCGCGGGGCAGGCTAAGAAGGCCCAGGCAGGGGCCCCCCACAGCCTGCAGATTCCCCACCCCAAGGCTCAGCCCTCCCACTGTGGAGGGCACTGCTCTCGAGCCTGCGGTCAGCGCAGGGTCCGTGGCTGCTGCCCCTCCCTCCACCTGAGGCTGGCTGAGCAGCAGAGGGCAGGCAGCATGGCTGGCAACACTGAGTCCTGGGCTGCGCTCAGACCCCGGTGCCTTCTTCCTGGGTCCATGGGGCGGGGCCAGCACTGTGGCAGCCAATGAGCACCATCTCCAGGTTATGGGGGTCCCAAGGTAAGGCCAGGCCCCCGGGCCCAGGTGGGGGCTCCCCTGTGCTGGTAGCCTCGGGCTGGATCACGGGCTCTTGGGGCGCAGTACAAGCCCCTTCCTCAAAAGGTGGAGGTGAGGCAGGGGTGCTGGGTTCAGGGCCGAGCTCCCCTGAGCCAGGGGGCTCTGAGTCTGAGGTGGAGGTCCAGAAAGCCGAAGACCGAGGCCAGGGGGAACTCTGAGAGGCTGGGGGACCCCAGGGCCAGGGGGCCACCAGTGGAGGGGGCCCTGGGCGAGGGTGGGGCCAGGTTCCACTCAAGACAGAGCCAGCGGGGGGCTGCAGGCAGTAGGAGGGCGTCCCGGTGTCCACACACAGAGGCTGCAGGAGCCCCGCTGAGCCAGCTGGGCACAGCCCCTCTCCGTGGGGCGCCAGGACCAGCTGCACGGCCTGACGGAGGGACTGCAGTCCCTCCCGCATCTGCAGCACCTGCTCAGACAGCTCTACCACCTGGGGGCAGGTGGGGTGGGGTGGGGTGGGGACACAGGGAGTTAGTAGGAGTAGCACCCTCCCCCACACCAGCCTGCCCCTCCCCTTCCCGGCCCCTCACCCACCGCCTGCCGAAGCTTGTCCAGTGTGTCTGCACTCCTTGTCTCGCTGGGCCCCAGAGGGACGGTGAGGAGGCCATTCTCTGTGGACAGCACACAGTGTGGGGGTCCCAGGGCATGGCCCTGTTTGAACAGACCCCCTTCAAGGGGCACCTGCAAGGTGCCCAAGCCACCAGGGGCAGTGGAAGCACCTCCCATGAACGTGGGCCACACCGCCCTGCCAGCTTCTCCCCATGCCAAGGGGCTGCTCCATTGGGCTCACACTCTCTCCTTCAGGGGCACAGCTGTCCCTTGGGGCGCACTTCCCCAGTGACCACCGGCCATTTCATCTCCGATTCCCCCACTCCACCCCACAGCAAACTATGGTGATCAGTGTTCCCGTGAGTTCACCTTTTTAAAGCACGTCCAGCCTCCAGTCATACAGCAGGGATGGGGGCTCAGAGGGCCCACTCAGGTCACACTGCTAGGGATCTAAACCCAAGCTGACTCGGGCTGCCCATCTCCAGAGCCAGAGCAGGGGTGGGCGAGGGTGAGAGGCTTCCGGCCAGCACCCACCCGCCTGTGCCCTGCCCAGCCATACCTGGTCCAGAGGAGGGGCTGCTGCTGCATTCCGGCCCCGAGGGCCCCACACGGAAGGAGAACTTGGGCTGGTCGGAGCCACAGCCATCCTCAATGCCGTCAACAACCCTGGGGACCCCAGCACCAGGACAAGTCAGCTGACAGGCAGCCACTGTGGTGCTGCCCAGAACAAGATGGCCCAGGGCACACGTAGAGGCCAGGGGGCCCCAAAAGGAAGGCACATGTGCCAGCCCACCCCAGCAGCGGGCATCAGTGCTGAATGAGGGGCTGCTGGCACTCAGAGTCGAGTCCAGAGGACTTCCTGATGGAGGTGGCTTGAAATAGGCAGGCTGGGAGAACCGGCACCTGGGTGCAGGCAAGTCTGGCCCACCTTCTCCACTGCTCACCTGGGGCTCAGATCCGGGGGCACATTCCAAGGCATGGGGGGCAGCCGCAGCCCCTCTACGCTCCGGGGGTGAGCAGAGGGACCGGCCTCAGCTTTTGACGTGGCTGTTGCCCTGCTGGGCCGCCCTCTGCCCCCAAGCCGGGGTCGAGGGGCAGCCCTCCTAGGAGACAGCAGCTTGGCAGCCGAGGAGGAGGAGGTGCAGCCAGGAGACAGCAGGGGACTGGATGGCTCATCAGCTGTGGCTGGTGAGGCCCCAGGACCCTGCTCCCCGTCCGTCTCTTTCTCCTCCAAGGTGGACATGAGGGTGTTGTCACCGCTCAGGGAGCTGGTGTCTGCCTGGGGGCCGAGGGGATGGAGATCAGCCATGCAGGATTTCCAGTATCTGTCCGTAGAGGTGGCCTGCGTCTCTCCTGTTACCACCAAGCTCAAACTCAAGCCAAATGAGGTCATGCCATCCTTCATGGTCTCTTGGGCTAACTCGATTTCCCAATAGAAACCAGTACAAGACACCGGTTTGAAATTAGTAGCGTAATCCAGGAAAACCCCAAAGCCCCTCCCTCTGAACAGTCCCGTTTGGCCCTGGAGGGCCCGCCAGGAAGCCCACCAGGCTCTCTTCAGAACCCCAGCCCCGAGGCACCGCCTCCATAACTGGTGGAGTCTGCTTCCTCCCACGGGACTTCGCTGCCTCAGATGGGCCAAAGGAGTCACAGCGGGCATGAGCAGGGCTTGGGCTTTACAAGGCAGGTGTGGGGTATGAAAGGTGGGGAGAGGAGGTCCCCACCCTGAGGGCTGGGCTTCCCCAGGGGCAGAGCCCTCGCTCCAGACACTTTGCAAACCCCAGTCCCAGGACATGCCACCCCTCCACCACAGGCACCCAGTGCCCTCACCTCTGCAGGGCCTCCCCCAGCACCCAGGTTGTAGCTGAGCTCCCCTCGGAGGCCACGGCTGAAGCGTGGGGCAAACTCAGGATAGAGTGCTAAGCTCTCGTGCAGCCCCGCCAGCTGCAGACACTGCAGGACGCAATACGTCAGACCCTTCACGTCCGCATTGGCCTTCACCACCTGCTCCCGACGGGGCAGCTCGCAGCCAATCAGATCACCCTTCCCTGGGGAGAGGAAGCAGACAGCATTCAGGCCGCCACGCCCTCCTCACCACTGCGGTGGGGGAGAAGGGGGAGAGCTGGAGGCCAGTGAGATTCGAACCCCCAAGCTGGCCTTCTCAGCAAGGACCCCCAAGTGGTGGTCAGAGGAGGACAGGTGCGAGCAGAGCGGCTTCCTGCCCACTACCCCCCCAACCCCCCAAAACTTGTTGGGGAAAGCACTGTGCCCTGAACTCCCACATAAACCCAGGATCAAAACCACCATGCAGAAGCATGTCACTCTGAGATGGAGCAGGCTTCAACACTGTAGGCTAAATTCCCTGGGGAAGTGAAAACAGGACCCCCAGACCCCAACCCGAAGAACCCACTGTCCTGGAGTTGAGGCTGACTCATCATGATCCCACAGAGCAGAAAAGAATTGCTCCACAAGGTCTCCCACCCCACAACCCTCAGAGTATCCACGGAGACACTCATCAGACTGTGAGCTCCCCATGGGTGAACCGGAAGCCCGTGCAGGGCAATGCTTGCAACCAGCTGTGGAGTGTGGCAGCCCACGTGGCCCTGCCGGGCACCATGGTGGCGTATCCAAGCCGTGTGGTCCTGGCCAGCCTACTTCACCCTCCAGGGCCCTGGCTGCCAGTGAATCATGTCTGGAGCAATCACTTGATCTGGTTACCAGGTGTCGATGCCGGCCCTCCCCACCATCGGGCTGAGACCGCCACCTGGCTGACAGCAGCTGCAAAGTGGCACCGAACACAATCCAGACCCCAACCGCAGCCATGTTAAACTGGGGAGGATTTGTGCCACAGAATCCAGTAAAGGTAGTGCCACCACCCGAGGGCATGGGTGACGTGAGTTGGGGTAGATAAGGTGGCTGGCACGTAGGTGACCAATGGAGACCAGCAAAGGAGTCCCCTGTGGGTCACTCCCGGCGGCAGGGATGGGCTTCCCATATGGGCTGGGGCAGAACATTCCCTGCCTCGCCAGGAGAGTGACCAGCCGGTTCCCTGGACTAAAAGGACTTCCTTCTGTGGGAGGGCATGATGGCGCCCTCTGTGGGCCGCCTCCCGCAGCCAGCAGCACACCCCAGACTTAGACAAAAAAGCAAACCCAACTCCCTGCCACTGAGTCAAATCCGACTCACCGTGACCCTATACGACCAGGTGGAACTGCTTCTGTGGGTTCCTGAGACTGGAACTCATGCCAGGAGTGGAAAGCCTCATCTTTCTCCCACAGAGCAGCTGGTGGTTTCAAACTGCTGACCTCGTGGTTAGCAGCCCAATTCGTAACCCACTATGCCACCAGCGGCCTCCTCTAAATGTCCATGGTCCTAACTATACATTCCATCCCTCTGAGACTTTATCCCCTTGGTTTCAGCCCATCTTTCTGGTTCCTTCGAAAAACTGTCTGAAATTCAATGAGCTCTTCTGATGAATAGGTTCTCTCCTGCGTGTTACCTGGAAGTCGGGCAAGCATGTCTTCGACCAGAACCAAACTGCTGCCATGGAGTTGATGCTGACTCATAGCGACCCCTGTGGGTTTCTGAGACCCATACTGTTTACAGGAGTAGAAAGCCCGGTCTCTCACCTGCGGAGCTGCTGGTGGTTTCGAACTACTGACCATGCAGGTCGTGGCCCAATGCGTACACTACACCACCAAGGTTCTTTTGAAGAGACGGGATAAAAGTGAGAGATGGGGCAGGATCAAGCCCGGTGCCTCTGTGGTCCCAGGGACCAGAGACTGCACTCCAAGCTGGCATCCAGACTCAGGGATCCAGCCCCAGTGAGGCCCCTGCAGCACCATGACCACACCCACCTCTCTGCCTGGGCTCCCTCCTCCCTCCCTCTGAACTGCCTGCTGGTGCTCAGCAGGGACTGATTCACCCGGGACTGTGGGCAGTGATTCTGAGCAAGCTGCGTGGTAGAGACAAATGGCAG